CCTGGCAGTACCTTCTATTCTCATTTTGGAGGACGGACAAGCTTGCTCTGCCTCTCCTGGCTCCTCCCTTCTGAGTCTCATGAAATAGAATGTGTCAGCTCTGCTCACGCAGCAGTAGTATCTCTTGAGGCCAGAGCAGGTCTTGTATTTTTTTTTTTTATTTCCAGACTTCTTTTAGGGAGGTTTTATAAAATGACAGTGGTGTTCCCAGCATATGTGATACGCGGTTAGACTTCTGATAGTATTAATCAGCTTCCTGGGGCTAATCTGGCTTACGTTGGGAGGATATGCTTACGAATCAGCAGCAGCTTTCTAAGGAAGAGATGTGACTTTTCTCTGCACTGTGCAGCCTGGAGGATCGGCTTTTGATGGGGATTTGACTCCGAAGCTCTTTGTAGATTTCTTTTTTAGGAGGGTTTTCCTATCTACCTTTCTACTGAAGTAGTTTCTGGAATTATCCTGATGGATCAGAGTTAAGTAATGCAGTCTGATCCTTCAAACTGCTAGTTCGAATTGTTTTAGGTGTTCAGGAAGGGTAAAATAGGCTGAGGTGGCCTGTCAGAGTGATGTGTTCTCAAAAAAGTTTACCTGCATATCTGTGGGCTGCTTTTGTCCTCAGACTAGCTTAGTGGACAGACTCCACAAACCCTCTGATGAGATGATTGATGTGGCCAGGGTCCGGTTAGCATCAGTAGAAGGATGTCACTAGGAAGGGACCAGGTATCTGGTAAGTGACTGTGAGGTGTCACAGTACCTGTGACAGGAGAGTGTCCCGAAGTGCTTGGGAGAAAGGCTGTATGGGGGCCAGGGACAGAAAAGACAGTATGTGGCCACAGAAGTGGCCACAGAATTTCCTGTGCATCCACCACCAGTGCTGCCCCCTGTGTGGGCTCTAGAGAAAGTGGCCCAGTGCTTTGTACCAGGCCAGAGTCTTGGTGATGCCATGTGCTGGCAGCTTTCTCACTGAGAAGGTCCTAGCTTACCCCTGTGTGCTGGCCTTGGATTCAGCCCTGAGGGAGGGAAGAGACCATGCCTCCTGTGGAGTGGGTTCCTTATCACCAGACTGGCCACTCTCAGAACTGGCGTCCACTGTAAATCCAGGTGCCTTACGTGTGGCTCTGTCCCTTATGCTGCTGGGGAAAGCTGCATTGCCATTGTTCCCACCTCCTCATTGGCAGATAGATGCCAGCACTGTTAGCACTGTCTCCTCACCTTTTGTTTCTCATTGTGGCTCCTCAAATGGGATTTGCATGTTCCTGTCAAGCTTAACAACAATCCCTTCTCTCTTTGACAGAGGCCCACGTGGGAGAGTTTCTACTATTTGATATTTGAGTATTATCTGGGATGTGGTTCTAGAGCTGCCCAGAGCTGTGCTCAGTAGAGCGTGTCTTGGAACGTGCGCCTGGGCAGACTGTATCTAGTACACTGGTGGGCTATCTCTTATCTGCGGTGTTTGCTTTTGCTAGGAAGAGGATGTGGAGGAAGGAGGAGGTGGGCAGTCTGGCTTGAGTTGTGCTGTATCCTCTACCTTGTTAGCTTGCCTTAGTCTCACTGGAGACCATTTGCGGATAGTGCTTGGTCCATGCCCAGCAGGACAGGGCTTTGCTGCTTCTGAAAGTCTGGTGTTCTGTATCTGGGGCTGTGGATTCCTGTGTCTAGCTGCTCAGGAAATCTTGAGAAGCATTCCACTCTGGGGTGTTAACCAGTATGAGTTTGAAATTCAAGCCTTTGTACCTGAGTTGGGGAGAGAATTGCAAGGTATACTTTCTCTGAAAGTAACAGAACCAGTCAGGCTGCCATGTTATTAAGGAATCTGAACTGTTTATAGCAGTTACCTTGTGGGTGATACAATGGGAGGGGGCAAAAAAACTACCTGCATAGGGGACCCTGCCCTCTATCAAGAGCTGGGAGCACATTTCATCAGAGTAGCAGGCCCACCTGGTGCCACAGGGCCTGCCCTTCCTGCTTCTATTCCTTTGCCTTGCAATCTCCTGGAGAGAGCCTCTCTTCCTGTACAGCCTTTGGGCCAAAATGCCCTTCTAGCTTCTCCAAAGAAGATCCTAGTTTATTTCATTCTATGTTTTAAAAGGTAAACAGGACATAACAAGTAAAAGAAGTTTTGGGCTAAAGTAGGGTATGTCTCCTTATGTATTAGCCCAATACTGTTTTGCAGAGAAAACATTTTTCAAGCATGTACTTCCTGAAGACACGTCAGTCTTTGGGCCATTTGATTTCCAATACATAGGGTGGAAGAATGTGATTTGGGGCTGACCATAAACTGGAAATTTGTGAAATGGCAGTGATTGGGCAATCTTCAGTTTAGTTTTTCAGTTGAACTGGAACTCATTTCTGGAATGGATTTAATAGGCCGTGTCTAATGTACAAACTGGGTGAGTCCTGCCTTAGTGTGTCCTGCCCCACCAGTACGTGTCCAGGATACTCTTTTTTTCCCCTCTGTAAAGTCACTTTCTTCTGATGGCCATTGTCACTATGATGTCAGGTTTGGGGATGAGGACAGTGTGTCCTGAAATTCACAGGACTGACTCCTCACCCCAGTGCACGAGGATTCCTGTGGCATAAGGTGCTGCTGTACCTAATGTAGGAGCCTAATCATTGAACCATTGTGTTACATTCCATGTCACAGAACATCTCAGCCTCAAGAAGGATTTGGTGGAGGTGGATTTACCCCTTGTTTTACAAAGGACCGTGTAAAGTCATTGAAGTTGTGAAAGTCTATTTTTTTTCCTGTAAATCTATTTTTTACAGAATATAAGAAACATCAGTGACCTGATCTGTCCTTCCTCCTCCTTCCCGCTTCCCCCAAAATCACATTTCAGTTTTTATTGTCTTTGTGTCCAAAGTAAACTAGGTGACTTATTTGTATAAAATGTTATTTTGCCACAAGAGACAGTAATAAAGATTTTCACAGTACGTCTCTCTCATCCTGTCTCCTGATTGTTGGGGCCCTTGTGTTGCTGAGGGGGAGCAGGGGCGGGTGGGGCCTCCAGGTTTCTCTTACTTTGGCTATTATGTGGCCCTTCTGTAAGTAGTTTAACTAGAGTATAGCTGGCTTCTAGGGTGATTGAGGAATTGTACTGGACTTTAGGCTTAATATTTTTGCTTTGTATTTTTCCAGGGTGAGTGGCTTTGTAAATTGAAAGTTTACATGCACATTTTAAAGGTAGGCTTTTTTTTTTTTTTTTTTTTTGAGATGGTATTTCACTCTTTTTGCCCAGGCTGGAGTGCGATGGCACAATGGTGGCATCGCACTCCAGCCTGGGCAAAAAGAGTGCAGTGGTGGCTTACTGCACCCTTTGCCTTCCGGATTCAAGTTATTCTCCTGCCTCAGCATCCCAAGTAGCTGGGATTACAGGCATGTGCCACCACACCCGGCTAATTCTGTATTTTTGGTAGAGACAGGGTTTCCCCATGTTGGCCAGGCTGGTTTTGAACTCCTGACCTCAGGTGACCAACCTGCCTCGGCCTCCCAAAGTGCTGGGATTACAGGTGTGAGCCACTGTGCCTGGCCGTAAAAGTAGGCTTATAAGGAATACTTTACAGTAAAATTTACCTCACTTAAGAGTACCAATGCATTTTGACAAATGAATAGTCTTATTACCCATCACAATCATGATATAGGACATTTCCATTGTGCCCACTTAGAAAGTTCCTGAGTTCCTTGTGTTTGCGGCCAGGTGCCTTCTCCCACCTTAGCCTCTTGCAACCACTATCTGATTCTGTCTCTATTGGAAAACTTGGATGCTTTTAAAATGAAATTTCACATTCATATTTACAGTCACAATTCTCAAGAGTCTCATTTAGATGCTCTGTGGCAACTGAAGCAATTATTGGCCTCTGCTCACAAACACAACTCACTCATTTCTCCCTTTTCTCCTGCTTTTTCATAGTTTCTTCCACCCAGGGCTGGTGCCCAGGTGGGATGACTGAAAGGTGAGGAAGCCCTTAGAGCATTTGCCAATGGGAGCCATTCATTTGACTTTAAAGTACTGAGAATTTAGAGGCGTTCTTTTAAATGCATTATTTAAAAAGAAAGGTAACACATTAAGGACTTTGCTGCATCTTTTGATTGGCTTTCCTCTAGGAAGTAGTGACCGAGGTTTCCACTTTCCTCCAAGAGGAAGAGACAGAATTTTTGGCAAATAGGTCAATGCTGGGAATATCCTGACTGGCTGAGTGCTGGGAAAGAAAGGCAGTTGGAGGGATATTTGGGTTCCTGGGAAGGCGTGGGTGGTGCCCAGGAGGCTATGGGAGTCAGAATCACACTTGCACAGGAGAAGACCCTTATGGGACAAGTAAAATCAGTGTAGTTTCTTGGGCGGGGCAAAGGCGTCCTGATGAGGATACTAGGGGTCAAATGTGTGGCTGGGCTCTGCCCCAATCAGGAGTGAGACAGGACTAAAGTGGAAACAGAGGGGTAGCAGCAAGACACAAGACAAGGTCCTTGAGCTTCTTGGAGCGAGTGGGGGAAGCAGATAATTTCAGATGCAAAGTGCCTTGAATAAACAGAACGAAAGATAGAGAGCCAGTGGGGGAGAAATGGCCTGGTGTGTTCAGGGCAGGCCTCCATGAGACCTGAATGAAGAGGGGGCATTCCAGACAAAGGGAACAGTGATCACAGAGGCCCCGAGTCAGGAACCAGCTAAGGGTCTTAGAGAAGAGCTGCCTCGTAAAGCTGAGCAACAATAACCAGGGAACAGTGGGCATGGGCCCTGATAGCCAAGGCAGGTCTTGGCTTTTTAAGCCATAGAATTGGATTTTAGGAGGGATGGGCCCGCCGACAAAGCCAACAAAGTTTTAAGCCGAAGATCGCTATCTTATTTATGCTTTAAAAAGACCTCTGGCCTTTCTGCGAAGCTCTATCCTTAGCTTTGTCTTGTTAGCATTTTGATTAACAAATGAGGGCACGAACAGCCCGCTGACCAACCACGCGCGCAGTCGAGCGACGGTTCATTGCCTTGGGAGGGACCCACTGGAGGCCCCGCCCCCGAGGCCCTACTGGCGTGGCCTCTGCCGCGGGTCCCGCCCCCCAGCCGTCCGGAACAGCGCGCTCGCGGCGGGAGGTCGTGAAGCCTGAGGCCGTGTTTGCCGCCCATGGCCGCCGCGCTGCTCGCCCGGGCCTCTGGCCCTGTCCGCAGAGGTGAGTGCGCTCGGACTCCGTACGGCGGGGCTGCGGCCCGCGCCTGGCCCAGCGGGCGGAGGTCCTGGTGGCCGGCTCTATCCGAGCCGCTGGCAGGCGGAGCCCCGCTCCGGGAGCGTTCACGGCCTTTGCCCCAGTTCTGCTGCTCCTCGCGCCGGACCAGCCCGGCCCTTTAGGCGTCCCCGGTTCCTGCGCAGACCCCTAGCCCCCTGATTGACCCCAGCCGCCAGCCCAGTTCTCAGGGCTGCATCCATATCTCCCTCCCCTCATTTCACCCCCACTAGAGGTTCAGGGTGCGCCCTTCCGGAGCCAGGCCCGGGATTGAACCAGACCTGCATCTGTGACCTTGGGCAAGACAGCCCCTCTCAGCCTCAGTTGGCCCTTGTGTAAAATGCCCACAGAGAATATCAGAGTTGTTGGGAGGATTAAATCACAGGGTATGTAAAGTACTTCATGCCTGGCGTCTAACAGGTGCTCCACAAATGCTCGTTCTTGCTGGTTAATACAGTACCTTTCCCATCTTACACGTCTCCAGCTGTAGCAGCCGTGACACATATAGCCAGAGCTTCCTTTGCCTGGCGTGAATTACAAGACGAACGCTACTGAGAACTGTATTAAGTGCTAGTTAGGCTTTCTTTAATCTTTGCACTCCCAGGAGCGGAATACTATTTTCCTCCACTTGTTATAGAAACGAAGGCTCAGTGACGTTTAAAACCCTTGCCTAAGGTCACAGAGCTGAGGTCTTATTACTATTGGTGTTATACTGAGGACTGAAGGATGTCGTGTATGGAAATGTCTAGTGAGTATACTAAGCATTCAGTTAGTAGGGGGTTTTCAGTGGCAGCCATGGACATTTTGGGCTGACAGTTCTTTGTTGTGGGGGCTGTCCTCTGCCTTGTAGGATGTTCAGCAGGGATCCCAGGCCCCTATCCACTGGGTCCCAATAGCATTCCCCTCCTCTAGGTGAGACTACTAAAACTGGCTCCAGACATTGCCAGATGTCCCTTGGAGGGCACAACCCTCCCTGGTGGAGAACCACTGAGTTAGTGGGTCACTAGGATTCTTTGAGACCTCCTGCCTCCTCCTTCCGCTCACTTCTGCCCTTGCTGGCAGCTCTCTGTCCTAGGGCCTGGCGGCAGTTACACACCATCTACCAGTCTGTGGAACTGCCTGAGACACACCAGATGTTGCTCCAGACATGCCGGGACTTTGCAGAGAAGGAGTTGTTTCCCATTGCAGCCCAGGTGGATAAGGAACAGCTCTTCCCAGCCGCTCAGGTGAAAATGCAACCTCAGCAGCCTATCATGGCGGTCTGCCTCTGTTCCTGGATGAGTGGTGGCAGTGACAGTGGCACTTGGACTCCGGTAGAGGAACCCCAAAGCAGGGCCTGGAACCCAGAAAATGCTCTGGAAGTTTCCCTTGTCCAGCCTGTGGCCAGTAGCCAGTACTTAACTTCTGGAACAACAGTCATATGTGGTGGATGGTTAGTTGCTTGCCGTGTGCCAGCCACTGTGCTCATTCTAATAGTGCTTTTAGGGTGCTTGGCATGCGCTAGGCCCTGTTCTTGAGATGGGTTATCCCATCTGTTCCTCACAACAGTCCTGTGAGGTGAAGGTACTATTCTTATTTATTTATTTTTTTGAGACGGAGTTTCACTCTTGTGGCTCAGGCTGGAGTGCAATGGTGCGACCTCGCCTCACTGCAGCCTCCGCCTCCCGAGTTCAGGTGATTCTTCTGCCTCAGCCTCCCAAGTAGCTGGGATGTACCACTATGCCCAGCTAATTTTGTATTTTTAGTAGAGACGGGATTTCACCATGTTGGCCAGGCTCCTGACCCCAGGTGGTCTGCCTGCCTCGGCCTCCCAAGGTGCTGGGATTACAGGTGTGAGACACCATGCCCGGCCAAAGGTACTATTATTATATACCCCATGGACTCAGATTTGTGAACAAGGTAAATAATGTACCCAAGGTCATGGAGCTCATCAGCTGCAGCCTGCTTGATTTATTTTCTTTTTTATTTACTTCTTATTTATTTATTTATTTTGAGACGGACTCTTACTCTGTTGCCCAGGCTGGAGGTCAGTGACGCAATCTCGGCTCACTGCATCCTCTGCCAGGATCTTGAGTTCAAGTGATTCCCCTGCCTCAGCCCCCCGTAGCTGGGATTAGGCGGCTGCCACCACACCCAGCTAGTTTTTGTACTTTTATTAGAGATGGGGTTTCTCCATGTTGGCCAGGCTGGTCTTGAACTCCTGACCTTAGGTGATCTGCCTGCCTTGGCTTCCCGAAGTGCTGGGATTACAGGCGTGAGCCACCGCGCCAAGGCTGCTTGAACTGTTTTTTGCCCTGAGCGCACTCCCTCCCGTGCCATTGTGTTCTTCCATTTGCATTCAGTCTGTCTGCAGCTACGCATTGAAGATGTTACTGCCGTGCACTCTGGCCTAGTAAGATATCCAGCACCTGGTGTAAACACTCAGTAGTAGATGGCTGTTTAGTTAATGTTTTGTGAAAAGTCAGACCTCTCTGGCCTCTTCTCCTTGTCTTTTTTTTTTTTTTTTAAATTTTAATTTTAATTTATTTTTTATTTAAACATTTTTTTGAGACACAGTCTTGCTCTGTTGCCAGATTGGAGTGCAGTGGCGCGATCTTGGCTCACTGCAGACTCCACCTCCTGGGTTCAAGCAATTCTCCTGCCTCAGCCTCCTGAGTAGCATGCTGCCACGCCCGGCTAATTTTTTGTATTTCGGTAGAGATGGGGTTTCACCATGTTGCCCAGGCTAGTCTCAAACTCCTGAGCTCAGGCAATCTGCCCGCCTCGGCCTCCCAAAGTGCTGGGATTACAGGTGTGAGCTACCGCGCCCGGCCTTGAAAATGAGTTTTAAAAGGGACTTAAAACATTGTTTTTATATGAGGAACCCACTAACTGTTTCCCAGATACGAAGGCAGCAGGTGCTGCAGGCTTGCTTTGTCTGTCACTGCTGGGAAAGGGGTCTTATACCCTTTCTTACGGTTTCTCTTGGGAGTCTGGAGACCACCAGGCTCAGCCTCGTCAGTGCTGCTGCCTCTTCTCAGGGTGCAGGTCTGGGTTGCTGGGTCACAGACACTAGGAACCAAGAGTGACCATTGCAGGGGGCTCTAGGAGGCCACCCCTTGATATAGCTCTGAAGGTCAGGCCTCCCTCTGTGGAAAATACTAAAATATTGGGACTGGGGTGAGCCTGGCTGCTGTTAGTCAATTACTATCAATTTACATAGGTCAGAAATGACGGACAAACTCGAACCCATTTTTTTTTTCCCTGGGCTGCTTTTCTTTTCTTTTCTTTTCTTTTTGAGATGGAGTCTCACTCTGTTCCCCAGGCCGGAGTGCAGTGGTGTAATCTTGGCTCACTGCAGCCTCTGTCTCCTAGGTTCAAGCTCTTCTCCTGCCTCAACCTGTCAGGTAGCTGGGACTATAGGCGCCCGCCACCACGCCCCGCTAATTTTTGTATTTTTAGTAGAGGCTGGGTTCCACCATGTTGGCCAGGCTGGTCTTGAACTCCTGACCTCAGGTGACCTGGCTGCCTTGGCCTCCCAAAGTGCTGGGATTACAGGCGTGAGTCACCGCTTAATTATATTTTGGGTTTCTTCTTTTTGCCTATCTCGTCTCTTCCATCTCCTGCCACCGCTTTTTCCTTCCCTCGGTGCTGGTCTCCCTGTCTCTTTTTCAGGAGGCCCTTTAACGAGTGCACATTACCACAGTTATTGATTTGTCCCCAGTTTTTTTTCTAGAATGTTGCTGTGACTGGCCACAGTATGTTGCCTGAAATCTAGAGATGAATTTCATAGTGAGAAAGCCTGGGAAACAGCCCCTGTCACCGCTGATAAAATGGGGTGAGGTGACTGTGTCCAGGCTCTGGGATGGGGTGGAGAAGGCTGTGCTCTCATGTGCTGCCCCAGAGCGGCGCTCCTCTCTTTTGAAATTTGCTGTCTCAACACCAGAATGGGAGTGAGCAGAACTGCCATGTCTTTCACAGACAGAGGTAGATGCTTTATTTTTTAAATTATTTTTTTGTGTGTGTGACGGAGTCTCGCTCTGTCCCCAGGCTGGAGTACAGTGGTGTGATCTCGGTTCACTGCAGCCTCCTCTGCCTCCCGGGTTCAAGCAATTCTCCAGCCTCAGCGTCCCAAGTAGCTGGGATTACAGGCACACACCACCATACCCAACTAATTTTTGTATTTTTAGTAGAGACGGGGTTTCACCATGTTGGCCAGGCTGGTCTCGAACTCTTGACTTTGTGATTCGCCCGCCTGGGCCTCCCAAAGTTCTGGGATTACAGGTGTGAGCCACCACTCCCAGCTGGTAGATGCTGTAAAAGAAAATGCTGATGGTGAGAAAGGAGGGAGGACAGAGGAGCTGGGTGAAAATTGAGGGTGACAGTATACGCTAGTGAGGTCCTTTGGGGGCGGGAATTATGAATTCTTACAACTTTTGATTCTAGCTCGTTGAGAAGTGTTGCATTAGCCAGAGGGAGGCGGTGCTGTGTAGAAAGGAGGAGGCTGGGGTTCTGTCTTGCCTCCTGGTGGCCTAGACCTGGCCACTGATGCCACACACCCTTTCTGTGTGAATTCCCTCATTTGTAAGAGAAATATGGGGTCATCCTCACTTTGCTACCTGTCAGGATGTGTGACCAAGCATTTTAGGTGAGTATGAGGAACTGAACCTCCTAGGAGAGTTTCATCCTTTTACTCTCTTTCTGGGAATTTGGGTTCCCACTGTGTTTCTGGGGATGAGATGGAGTTACGAAGCGATTGGCTCATGCACCATTTATTCCAGGGTTTTATACCAACAAGCTCTGGGGTGAAAAGGAGGGCGTGTCTCTGTGTCGGGGAGATCTGAAGGTTCTTGGAGGGTGGGGCGGCTTGAGCTCATTTAGCCTCATTCTGTCTCGCTGGCGGGCTAGAGAAAGAGGCTTTCGGTAAGGTTCATGCGCAGGCCTGACCGTGAGTCTTGGACACCTGCATATTCATTTTTGTTTTGTTTTTGTTTTTGTTTTTGTTTTTGAGACGGAGTCTCGCTCTGTGGCCCAGGCTGGAGTGCAGTGGCGCGATCTCGGCTCACTGCAAGCTCCGCCTCCCGGGTTCACGCCATTCTCCTGCCTCAGCCTCCCGAGTAGCTGGGACTACAGGCGCCCACAACCGCGCCCGGCTAATTTTTTGTATTTTTAGTAGAGACGGGGTTTCACCGTGGTCTCGATCTCCTGACCTTGTGATCCGCCCGCCTCGGCCTCCCAAAGTGCTGGGATTACAGGCGTGAGCCACTGCGCCCGGCCTTGTTTTTGTTTTTTTGAGACAGGGCCTCACTGTCACCCAGGCTGGAGTGCAGTGACACAAACACGGCTCACTGCAACCTCGACCTCCTGGGCTCAAGCGATCCTCATGCCTCAGCTCCTGCAGTAGCTGGGACCACAGGTGTCCACCACCATGCCTGGCTCATTTATTTTTATTTTTATTAACTTTTTGTGGAGATGGGGTCTTGCCATGTTGGTGAAGCTGGTCTCAAACGCCCGGACTCAGGTGATCCTCCTACCTCTGTCTCCCAAAGTGCTGGGATTACAGGCCTGAGCTACCACACCCTTTAAAAAAATTTTTTTAATTAAAAAAATTTTCTTTTAGAAACAGGTGTATCACCATGTTGGCCAGGCTGGATTTGAATGCCTGGGCTCAAGTGATTCTCCTGCCCCATCCGCCTCCTGAGTCACTGGAGACCTGCGTATTTCTAGCACTTAGAGTATTGTCCGGCAGCAGAGGTGTTCCTTAATAAAATAGTTGTTTTTTTTGTTTTTTTTTTTTTTTTTTTTTTGAGGCGGAGTCTTGCTCTGTTGCCCAGGCTGGAGTACAGTGGCATGATCTCGGCTCACTGCAATCTCTGCCTTCTGGGTTCAAACGATTCTCCTGCCTCAGCCTCCCAAGTAGCTGGGATTACAGGCGCCCACCACCACGCCTGGCTAATTTTTGTATTTTTAGTAGAGATGGGGTTTTACCATGTTGGCCAGGCTGGTCTCGAACTTCTGACCTCGTGATCTGCTCGCCTTGGCCTCCCAAAGTGCTAGGATTAAAGGCATGAGCCACTGCACCCAGCCTTTTTTTTTTTTTTTTTTGAGACAGTCTCCCTCTGTTGCCCAGGCTGGAGTGCACTGTGCGATCTCAGCTCACTGCAACGTCTGCCTCCCAGATTCAAGTGATTCCCCTGCCTTAGCCTCCCAAGTAGCTGGGATTATAGGCATCCACCACTACGCTGAGCTAATGTTTTGTATTTTTAGTAGAGACGGGGTTTTGCCATGTTGGCCAGGCTGGTCTCGAACTCCTGACCTCAGGTGATCCACACGCCTCAGCTCCCAAAGTGCTGGGAATACAAGCATGAGCCACCGCGCCTGGCAAAGTACTCTGAAGTGTGGGCTAGAAAAGTGTTCTGTTCAGAGGCCACGTTTGTGCTGCCGCAGGTCTGCGTGTCCAGGTCCTCTTCCCAGTGAAATGCAGCAGAAAGCATTCTCTCCCTTGGACTTCCCCCTTCCCTAGTTGTTTCCTGCCTGCTGAAATGGTGCCTATTCTGAGCAGGGCCCCCCCCTCCCCAGGTGTGTGGTGGCCACAGAATGATCTTCTTTTTAGTAATTCTCAAAATGATACCTCCCTGGAAGCTCTGAGTTCCCATTTGTCACTGTGGATGAGTTTCCTATTGCTGCTGTAACAAATGACCACAAACCCTGTGGCTTAAAGCAATACAGATATATTCTCTGACAGTTCAAGACCAGCCTGGGCAACATAGCAAGACCCCATCTCTATCAAAAATAAAATGGAAAAAACAAACAAAATCATGGCAGCCACTTGATGATAAATGCCGTTCACCAGTTGCTCAACCTGAGTCAGGAATCCAGTGTGGGTCCCACAGTGCTAAATCAAGGCATTGGCAGGACTGAGTTCCTTCTGGAGGCTCTGGGGTAATCCGCTCCTGTCTTTTCCAGTTCTAGAGGCTGCCTGCATTCCTTCCTGCCAGAGTTCCTGGCTCTGCTTCCGTCGTCACCTCTCCTTCTCTGAGTCTGTGTCTGTCTTTCCCTTACAAAGACCCTGTGATGACACTGGGCTACTCTGATCATCCAGAATAACCCTCACATCTCCAGATGCTTCACTTACGTGTGGAAAGTCCTTGTTGCCACAGAAGGGAACGTACTCACGGGGCCTGGGATTGGGATGGGGACATCTTGGGGGGTTGCTGTCCTGCTGCCTTCCACACACTGGCCTCCTTCCCAGCTTCTCTGCCCTCTGACTGCAGCACAGCATCTACCTGGGGGCCACAGAGCTTGATGTGCACTTGCGGGGGTCATAGCTCAAGCCTCTCAGCATACACGTTTATGCCCCACATGTGGTACGCGTGGGAGACTCAGAGATGAGGACGGCCTGCCCCGTGCTTACAGTCTCACAAGCGAGTTTCCCTTGGGGACAGTTCAAGGAGGAATCAAGCAGTTTTACAGAGGGACACACGGATTGTCACGGAAGTGCTGCAGGCTCCTAGGTGCCCCCTCTTTTCCATATGTTATTATCAAAGTAAGAACCAGGCTTGGTGTGGTGGTTCGTGCCTCTAATAGCATGAGGGAGGCTGAGGCAGGAGGATCACTTGAGCCAGGATTTCCATACCAGCTTGGGCAACATAGTGAGACCCTGTCTCTAAAAAACAATAATTTTTTTTTTTTTTTGAGACGGTCTCGCTGTGTCACCTAGGCTGGAGTGCAGTGGCGTGATCTCAGCTCACTGCAACCTCTTCCTCCCAGGTTCAAGCAATTCTCCTGCCTCAGCCTCCTGAGTAGCTGGGATTACAGGCGCCTGCCACGATGCCCGGCTAATTTTTATATTTTTTGTAGAGACATGGTTTTCACCACGTTGGCCAGGCTGTTCTCGAACTCCTGGCTTCAAATGATCTACCCATCTTGGCTTTCCAAAGTGCTGAGATTCTTTGGGAGGCTGAGGCAGGTGAATCACCTGAGGTCAGGAGTTCGAGAACAGCCTGGCTAACGTGGTGAAACCCAGTCTCTACCAAAAATATAAAAACTAGCCGGGCATGGTGGCGGGTGCCTGTAATCCCAGCTACTTGGGAGGCTGAGGCAGGAGAATTGCTTGAACCCAGGAGGTGGAGGTTGCAGTGAGCTGAGATCGCGCCACTGCACTCCAGCCTGGGTGACAAAGCAAGACCGTCTCAAAAACAAAACAAAAACAAAACAAAACAAGGTGCTGGGATTACAGGTGTAATCTACCGCGCTCAGTCCTAAAAAAAAAAAAAAAGAACTTGGCAGCCACTTGATGCTAAATGCTGTCCACCAATAACTCAGCCTGGGCCAGGTATATTATCTACATTTCATGTATATTATCTCAGTCAGGCCTCAGAACAGTCCTTTGAGGTAAGTACCGTTTTGGGGAAGGAGAAGGTAAAACTTTTATATTCACAGGAGTAACATTTATTATAGAAAAACAAGAACATATTAGCAAACATTCTGATTTATGTAAGTCACTGTAGTACAAGAACATGGTTGAGGCCAGGTGTGGTGGCTCAAGCCTGTAATCCCAGCACTTTGGGAGGCCGAGGTGGGTGGATCACGAGGTCAGGAGTTCAAGACCAGACTACCCAAGATAGTGAAAACCTGTCTCTACTAAAAATACAAAAATTAGCTGGGCGTGGTGCTGGGCATCTGTAATCCCAGCTACTCGGGAGGCTGAGGCAGAGAATTGCTTGAACCTGGGAGGAAGAGGTTGCAGTGAGCTGAGATCACACCATTATACTCCAGCCTGGGCAACAGAACGAGACTCTGTCACAAAAATAAAATAAAATATAAAATAAAATAAAATGAAATAACATGGTTGCAGGAGTAAAATTGTATAAAAGGGCTGGTGAAAAGCAACGGTTCCCCTCCCTGTCCCCGTCCCTCTCCCTGCTCTCCCAGAGGTAAGTGGTTTTCCTTGTTCCTTTTTGAAGTTAGGTAGATTCTGTTGTGGTCCACATTTCTCATATTACTCACCTGAGAGTAATAATACTATTGTTTTGTTTTTGGTAGAGATGGGGTCTTGCTATGTTGCCCAGACTGGTCTTGAACTCCTGGCCTCAAGCAATCCCCTCACCTTGGCCTCCCAAAGTGCTGGGATTACAGGTGTGATCACTGCTCCTGGCCCGCTCTTAATATTATTATTCCTCAGAATTCAGAGTCCCAAGCTCTTAGCCTCCATTCATTCTCTCACTGGCCTTGGGCATGTAGCAGTGAGCCAGAGTGTACACAGTCTCTGCCCTCGTGGTGAGGGCAAAAGACCTTAATCCAGAGAAGCACGTTCATCCCTGAGAAATTCCAGCCACAGAGGTGCTGTGGGAGAGGGACTGAAGGATTTGACTCAGCGAGGCTGGGGGTGGCAGCCCAAAGCAGTGAGGCCTGAGCTGCGATCAGGAGAGGAGGGGCGATAGCCAGCTGATGGATAGGAGGCGGCATGTGCAGAGGCCCTGTGGTGGGGAGGGTGTGTGTGTGTGGATGTGCAGAGGGGACTGGATGAAGGTCAGTGTGGCTTACGCTGTCCTGCTCCTTACCTCTGAGTTCCCTGAAAGCATCCTGTGCCTTCTGCCTGCTTGCTGGCTGTGGACGGAGCAGGGAACAGGCGTGGAGGCAGGGGCAGGACAGCTTGAATGAGTAGTGCCGTCATACAGACCTCAGTGGGAATGGGTCGTCAGCGTCTGGACTTGGGGATCCCCTGTGGATGGCTGGGGTCACATGGCCTGAATTTCTGCAGGCACTGCCTGGGGGGCAGGAGGGTTTGGGCTTGGGGAGGGTGGACTCACCCCCAGCAGCTGCCCATGCCGTGCTGTCCTTCCCTGTGCCCAGGTGAAGAAGATGGGCGGGCTCGGGCTTCTGGCCATGGACGTGCCCGAGGAGCTTGGCGGTGCCGGCCTTGATTACCTGGCCTACGCCATCGCCATGGAGGAGATCAGCCGCGGCTGCGCCTCCACTGGAGTCATCATGAGTGTCAACAATGTGAGCCCCCCCGCCCCAGGCCCCTGGGACACATGGGTGGAGGGAGGCTCCTGTGAGCGGGCAGACTCTGGCCTCGGCTCCCAGGCCTGATCTCTCTGGAGACGTCACAGGCCTTGGTCCTACTGGATAGGCCCTGGAGAGAACAGGCCCTGAGTGCAGCCCGCAGGTGGGCAGGATGCACCTGGGCCTGGGGCCTCCAACCGCTCCCCGCTCTCCCCCTAGTCTCTCTACCTGGGGCCCATCTTGAAGTTTGGCTCCAAGGAGCAGAAGCAGAAGTGGGTCACGCCTTTCACCAGTGGTGATAAAATTGGCTGCTTTGCCCTCAGCGAACCAGGTACCTGCCCTGTCCTCTCACTCTGTCCTTAGGGTGACAGGCCCAGAGGGGGAGGAGAGGAAGGTGCTGGGCCAACTGCCCACTGCTTCAGAGGCCAGAGGGGAGGCTCCCCGTGTGGTTGGTGGGGTGAGCACTTTTTTGCCACCACGGCGCTGGGAGGAAAATTGCCTTCGGGTCCCCTGGTTTAAGACGCCCAATTCCTGCACACCCCCTTTGCCCTCTGGGCCCGTCACTGAGAGCTTTGGGACCCTCATCTTTGGAGCCCGAGTCATAGGGTTTCATGCCCACCAGCAGAGGGTGTGGAGAGTGAGGCTGGTGCCCTCAGGTTGTGTGGGGTGGGGCCTGCGCTGAGCCCTGAGTCTGTGGGCAGGAAACGGTAGCGATGCAGGAGCCGCGTCCACCACCGCCCGGGCCGAGGGCGACTCGTGGGTCCTGAATGGCACCAAAGCCTGGATCACCAATGCCTGGGAGGCCTCGGCTGCCGTGGTCTTTGCCAGCACAGACAGAGCCCTGCAAAACAAGGTGGGCATCCCAGAGAGGGGTTCAGCCAGATCCTGGGCTGCTGTCATTTCAGTTTCTAGAGCCTTCTCTCCTTGGCCCGACTGGGCCTATTTTTGCTCTAGGGCAAGTGGGCTGTCCCTGTCCCTCCCCAGCTGCCACTGAAGTCTTCACCTTCCCCAGAAGCTGGCAGAGGGTGTCAGGGCTTGAGCTTCCGAGGGAGGTTGGGAGGGGACCGGGTTGGTGTTGGATGTGCTGGTGCAAGGCTGTGGCTGAGGGGCAGCTCTGAGAAAACCACCGCCTCTCCGTTCAGGGCATCAGTGCCTTCCTGGTCCCCATGCCAACGCCTGGGCTCACGTTGGGGAAGAAGGAAGACAAGCTGGGCATCCGGGGCTCATCCACGGCCAACCTCATCTTTGAGGACTGTCGCATCCCCAAGGACAGCATCCTGGGGGAGCCGGGGATGGGCTTCAAGATAGCCATGGTGAGCCCGGCGGTGGGGGTGGCACCTTGGGGCCAGGCCCGCCCCCCGGCTGGCGGGCCACTGACCAGGGCAGTCCCCACAGCAAACCCTGGACATGGGCCGCATCGGCATCGCCTCCCAGGCCCTGGGCATTGCCCAGACCGCCCTCGATTGTGCTGCGAACTATGCTGAGAATCGCATGGCCTTCGGGGCGCCCCTCACCAAGCTCCAGGTCATCCAGGTAATGGCAGTTTTAGGAACTGGGCCTGGAGGCTGGGCAGTGGGCGGGAAGTGTGGCCTCCTGACTGCTCTCTGTCCTCCTTCCCCTCCCTCTTGTCCCTGGAGGGGGCAGCTGCTGACCTGTGGTGTGGGGTGGGGCTGTTGCAGTTCAAGTTGGCAGACATGGCCCTGGCCCTGGAGAGTGCCCGGCTGCTGACCTGGCGCGCTGCCATGCTGAAGGATAACAAGAAGCCTTTCATCAAGGTGCCCACAGGGGTCCCCGAGCCATGGCCCAGAATGTGGTGGGCCCAGGGACAGGGGAGAGGTTGGGGCGGATCTCTGCCCCTCGGCCCTGTGGGTTAGAGGTGTGGGCCTGGGGTTTACTGCCCCATGGGGAGGCTCTACAGGCCTCCCCTGCTGAGGTGCTGTGAGCAGGGGTTGGGGGGGTCCCCTCAAGGGAAGGCTCTGACTGTACCCCCATGTTTAGGAGGCAGCCATGGCCAAGCTGGCCGCCTCGGAGGCTGCGACCGCCATCAGCCACCAGGTGAGTGTCCGCGGTGAGCCCTGAGGGGGCCGGCTGCCCCTTCTCCAGCTTTCCCCAAGCCGGGTTCTTCTCCCTCCTGAGCCCCTGTTCTTGTCTCAGGCCATCCAGATCCTGGGCGGCATGGGCTATGTGACAGAGATGCCAGCAGAACGGCACTACCGCGATGCCCGTATCACTGAGATCTACGAGGGCACCAGCGAAATCCAGCGGCTGGTGATTGCCGGGCACCTGCTCAGGAGCTACCGGAGCTGAGCCCGTGGCGGGCTGCCCGAGGACTGCGGGAAGGGGTGGGAGCCGGGGCCTCCACCCTGACCCCGGCTCAGAGACTGGGCGGCCCGGCGGGGGCTCCCTGGGGCCCCGGCCCCCTGGACTGGCCGGACGGGCTCAGTGCTGCCACCCGGATCAGACCGCAAGGGAGTGAGGCCCTCCGACCACTGGCAGCTCCGCCTCTGGGCCTTTCTGCCTCCTCACCACTGTGCCTCATGTTCCTCACCTGAGTGGCCCTGGCCTCCTGGGGGCAGGGTTGTGGGGGGAGCTGAGTGACACTCAGGGACACCTCAGTTGTGCTCCTGGGGGCCCTGGTGCCCCGGCATGAAGACCCAGTGGGACAGGCCCTTGGTGGGGTCTGGCTTTTCCTTGAGGTCAGAGGTCAGGAGCAGGGCTGGGGTCAGAATGACGAGGCCCAGGGTCCTGGCGTTGGGCAGGCGGTGGGGCTGGGCCACGGAGGCCCCTCAGCCCTTCGTAAAGTCTGCTGAAGGCAGGGGTGGTGATTCATGTCATGTGACTGACCGTGGGTAATAAACACACCTGTCCCCCAGTCTGTGTCCTCACCTTCTCCTGGGTGCTCCGGGGAGGCATGGTGGTCTCTCGTCTGCACAGAGGCCCACTCTGACAGCCTCACCCTATGAGTGTTGGGGGTCTTGGGGAGGGGCCTGGCCACCTGGGAGGTTCCCGAGTTCCAGCAGGAGGCCAGGTTGGCCAAGGAGGCAGTTCAGGAATAGGAACTGGGTCCTGCAGGCCTCAGGGAGTGACCCCTGGGCAGGGAGGGTGGGCCAGGCAGGGCCAGCGGGCTAGAAGGGGTTCTCTAGGCAGGACGGCCTCCAGGCAGGAGGAAGGAAGGCCCCAGATTGCCAGAGTCGGGGGGGCAAAGCTGTGGAGACCCCGAGCCCCAGGCAGGAGAACATAGAACCTTGAAGAGCAGCCATTTTGCTCACTAGCGCGCCGAGGGTGGCCCTGGCCAGCCAGTGCGGGGGCTTGCCCTGGTCCTGGGGCCTGCGGGGCTGGTTCTGGGCAGAGGTGCCCCTGAAGCCGAGGTCCAAGCTCTTAACCCTTTGGGCCAGTGTCGATCTAAGCAGCTGGAAGAGAAAACAGTGAGCAAAGAAAGATTTCAAAGGAGGTGGGGACAGCCCTCCGCCGGGCAGGCAGGGCAGAGAGTCAAACTGGCATTGCTGGGAGGTCTCTGGAGGGAAACGGGAGGGAGACAGGTGACTTTAGGAGCTGTCATCAAAGGGGCACCCAGGAAACCAGAGCCCCTGCTGCGGGTGGAATTTTTTTTTTTTTTTTTTTTTTTTTTAAGAGAATCTCACTCTGTCACCCAGGCGGGAGTGCAGTGGCACGACCACAGCTCATCAAAACCTCAACCTCCCAGGCTCAAGTGATCCTCCTGTCTCAGCCTCCCAGGTAACTGGGACTACAGGTGCACACCACCATGGCCAGCTAATTTTTAAGATTTTTTGTAGAGATGGGGTCTTGCTTTGTTGCCCAGGCTGGTCTTGAACTCCTGGGCTCAAGTGATCCTTCCAGCTCGGCCTCCCAAGTGGGGTTTCTGTGCCAGGCACTGATGCCCCACAGCCGAAGGATGCCTCGCTCTGCAGGGCAGCTCTGCCCTTGACCCTGCCCTGACCTGGGTCTGGTCCAGGGCCCTGGTGAATGGGAGTGCGCTTCCTTGACCGAATTTAGGTCCTGATTTACCCCATGGGCGGGGCGTGCGCAGGGCCCACGGGTACTGTGTTTCTGCTAAGGAGGCACACCTGTGGCTTCTGGGAAGCACGTGCTCCCGGGCTCCCGAGGTCAGCGGCGTCCTGCGCAGCCCGCAGAAGTTTGGGTCCCCTGGGCTTTCCTCCTGGCTCCAGGTAAGTGCCGCAGGGGCTTGGCTCCTGGCTCGCACTCTCGGGGTCTCCTGGGTCTGCTCCTGTGCCTGCCCTGGGCTCAGGGGTAAGCCAAAGGTATCAGAGCAGAGGGGACCCAGGACGCCTCCAGAAGCAGCGCGTTTGAGCCCTTCCACCTGGGGGCAGATGAAGGCCTGTCATTGCCTGTCCCCACGAGCCGGGGAACAGTGGGGAGGGGGTGTTTGGAGGTTCTGTGCTCCCCCCCAGCGAGGCAGCCCTGCTCCTGGCACAGATGTGGCGCGGGGTTGAGCTTGTCTTTGGGCCCTTCCTCTAGCTGATGGGAGAGAGGAACGCAAACAGCATTCATCCCAGGCTGGGGACCCGGCGTCTTGGCTGAGGACTTTGTCCCCACCCAGCTTGGAGTTCAGGCCCCTCAGATCCCCTGCCCTACCCGCTGAGAAGGGTTTGGGCCCTGGAGGGTCAAAGGCTGCCGACTGGAGTCACACTGCTCCCAGCAGGGCGGAGGGCTGGAGTCAGCACAGGCCAAGAAACCGGCCTGCGCACGAGGAGCCTTTCCAGGCAGCGCAGCCTCGGAGGCCTGGGGTCCTCCCTGTCAGATGAAGCAATCCAGGCTCTGAACCAAGAGCCAGTCTGTGCACTCGCGGGCTTCGAGGTGCCGTCGTGGGTCTGGGGTCTTCCCTTCAGTGAGGGAGAGTCGGCACAAACCCTTGGCTTTGACACGGTGCTGCCCGTTCGTGGAAGCTCCTCCTAGCCTGGAACTGAATTTGGACTCTGCCCCCAGGAGCACCGGAGCCTGAACTGTCCTAGAGCCCATGCCCCTTTGGATATGAATTTCTCAGTGTGGATTTCCTAAGGTCAAGGACGTTCACTTACATAACGACAGGACCGTTTCCCAGTTGGGACACTGAACCCTAGTCAACTTTCACATCTCCACACTCCACTCGGATTGTGCCGGCCGTCTCCGTGTCTGCCAGATAGATCAGCTCTTCTCGAGGCGCAGGGGCCTGCGTTGCATGTAGCTGAGAGGCCACCTGTTCCTTCCCGCTAGCCCTCTGGGACACGTTCTCCTTCCTTTGGTTTTTTTTTGTTTTTTTGTTTTTTTGTTTTTTTTTTTGGGAGATGGAGTCTCGCTCTGTTGCCAGGCTGGAGTGCAGTGGCACAACCTCGGCTCACCGCAACCTCCACATCCCGGTTTCAAGCCATCAAGCGATTCTCCTGCCTCAGCCTCCCAAGTAGCTGAGATGACAGGTATGTGCCACCATGCCTGGCTAATTTTTGTATTTTTAGTAGAGGCAGGCTTTCACCCTGTTAGCCAGGCTGGTCTTGAACTCCTGACCTCAGGTGATCCGCCCACCTCACCCTCCCAAAGTGCTGGGATTCCAGGCATGGGCCACCGCGCCTGGCCTGAAATCATACATTTCTAAGTGTGGCTTTTGCTTCATCTGATACATTTTAATGTCATATTTTCCTTATTAGTCAGTTTTCTGAAGCCCATTGTGCTTTCTATTTTGACTTATCAATTATTTAGAAGAGTAGTAGTATTTTTTGAGATAGGGTCTCATCGCTTGGGCTGGAGTGTAGTGGTATAATCACAGCTCACCACAGCTTTGACCTCCCAGGCTCAGGTGATCCTCCTACCTCAGCCTCCCAAGTAGATGGGACTACCGGCGCCACCACACCTAGCCATTTTTTGTATTTTTCGTAGAGATGGGGTTTCCCCATCTCTACTAAAGATGTGACCAGCCCAGGCTGGTCTCAAACTCTTGGGGTCAAGTGATCTGCCCACCTCGGCCTCCCAGAGTGCTGGGATTACAGGTGTGAGTCACAGTGCCTGGCCAGAGAGTATTATTTTATTAATACGGGGTTTTCTGAAGTATTTTTTGTTAATGATTTTTAAAAACTGTGATGCAGTTTACAGTTTTAGCCATTTTAAAGTGTACACTCAGTGGCATTTAGGACATTCATAATGTTATGCAACCATCACCACCATCTAGTTCCAGAACATTCTCGTCACCCCATCAACAGGGAGCTCCATACCTACTGTTGTTGGTTTATACCTTAATTGCATTGTGGTCTCAGCACATTTTCTGCATTATTTAAATTTTTTGAAATCTGTTGAGATGTGCTTTACGGCACTAAGTTACTTTTTATAAAGATTGAATATGAGCAATTTGGTTTTTCCATGTTCATTAGTGAAGTTCTAGCTCATTTATTTGGATTGCTGCTGAGTGGTGTCCCGTGGGATAAACTATACTGGGGTAGTTTCCTGCTTTTTACTCTTATAAACCACGATGCAGCGGACATTCTGGCACGTGTGTCCTTGTTCTAGTGTGAGAACTTGTGAGCATTTAAATCGAAGTGGGCTTGCTCGGCCTTAAGGCTGTTTATTTCTTCAGCTCCACTAGATATTGCCAAATGGCCCTCCAGCCGTGGGATCAGTGGTCGGATCCCCCTCTGTGCGTACGCGAGGGTCGATGACGCGCATTCTTCCTGTTCCTTGGCACCCACAGATTTTACAAATGTTCTTCAATATGGTTGTGATTTTAACTTGCATCTCCCTGGTTGCCTGAGAAACTGCACATCTTTTCACACGGCGCTTGGTCATTCTGGTTTCCGCTGTGAATCGCCGTTGTCTGTTTCTTCTGGGTTGTAATTGATTTGTAATTATCCCATGTGTTTATTCTTGCTACTAATCATTTGTCAGATATCTGGTTGCAAAAGGACTCATACAGTGTGCGGTTTTCCCTCTATTTAGTTATTTACTATTTATTTATTTATTTTTTGAGACAGAGTCTCGCTCTGTCGCCCAGGCTGGAGTGCAGTGGGGCAATCTCAGCTCACTGCAAGCTCCGCCTCCTGGGTTCACGCCATTCTCCTGCCTCAGCCTCCCCAGTAGCTGGGACTATAGGCGCCCGCCACCTCGCCCGGCTAATTTTTTGTATTTTTAATAGAGACGGGGTCTCACCATGTTAGCCAGGATGGTCTCCATCTCCTGACCTTGTGATTCGCCCGCCTCAGCCTCCCAAAGTGCTGGGGTTACAGGCGTGAACCACCGCGCCCAGCCCTCCCTTTTTAAAAATGGGTGCAGCCAAGTGTGGTGGCTCACGCTTATAATCCCAGCTCCCACTTTGGGAGGCTGAGGCGGGTGGATCACCTGAGGTCAGAAGTTCGAGAACAGCCTGGCCAACATGGCAAAAACCCATCTCTACTAAAAAATACAAAAATTAGCCAGACGTGGTGGCGTGTGCCTGTGGTCCTAGCTGCTTGGGAGGCTGAGGCAGAGGAACTTGAATCTGGGAGGCAGAGGTTGCAGTGAGCCGAGATTGCGCCATTGCACTCCATCCTGGGCAACAGAGCAAGACTCCATCTCAAAAAAAAAAAAAAAAAAAGGCTGCAACTTGGATATGCAATACCTCGTTGACTTTGGGCACTTTCCTGGGACATGGAATTTAACAGCCAAACCGCAAACCCAGGAGATGGAGCAAACTTACTGCTCAGTTAGCTGTTAGAAGCTTGGAAAAGGCCCGGTGTGGTGGCTCAGGCCTGTAATCCCAGCACTTAGGGAGGCCAAGGCGGGCGGATCACTTGAGGCTAGGAGTTTGAGACCAGCCTGGCCAACATGATGAAATCCCATCTCTTCTAAAAATACAAAAAAAAAAAAAATGAGCCAGGTGTGGTGGCAGGTGCC